GATGGTGATGATGGTGACGAGTCCGATGATGGCGGCAATGATGTTGATGACGATCATAAAGGCGCGGTTGATGATGATGGCGATGGTGATGTTGATGATGCGAATGGTGATGATGATGATGCTGATGTTGATGATCATGGTCATGATATCTAGGATGCTGACGATAATGATGTTGATGCTGATGCTGATGCTGATGCGGATGTTGATAAGGAACTGATGATGCTGATCATAATGATGATTATAATGCTGATGTTGATGATGATGCTGATGCTGATGCCGATGATGATGATGATGATGATGATGATGATGACGATGACGATGATGATGATGATGATGATGATGATGATGATGATGATGATGATGATGATGATGATGATGATGATGATGATGATGATGGAGATGGTGATGGTGATGGTGATGGCAACGATGACGACGAGGAAGAAGGTGTAGGGGGAGGAGGTGAGGTGATGCGGGGCTCCGCTTCCGACGGCGGAGAAACCTCCCACGTCGCCACTCCGCCATCGGAAGCGAAACCCCGCGCCCGCGCGCGATCACCTACACGCGGATCTGCCACTTGCAACCCACCCCCCACGCGAACTGTGCCCTGGAACAAGGGCTCCCAACTTCGCGCTTCGCGCAGCTCGAAGCGCGAAGTACGAATAACTTCGCGCTCTCGCGCCGCCTCCCAGGAAAGAAGAGCAGGATGAAGAGGAATCGGAGCCGAACCGCGAAGAGCGAATAACTTCGCGCCCTCGAGGGCACCCTTGTGGAAGAAGCTCCGCCCACGGCCCAAGTGGGGGAGCTCGCGCGGCGTTCCCCCCAGCAGTTTCGATGCACCCCTCACAAGGATCAGGAGCTCCACACATGGCCACAGGGAGAGAACTCGCATGATGCTCCACTACCCAATTGCGGCACGTCCCTCAGACGGACTGTGCTCAACCCATGGCCCCAGCAGGCGCGCCCGTAGGAAGCCCGATCCGTCCCGCGGAGCACAGTGTATGCGGAGAGGGCCACTCCCAGCCGTACACGTCGGTCGGAATATGTAAGAACATGAGGAAGGAAGGCGATAAAGTAGATTGGGTCCAGGCCCCCCACATAATAACAAAACACGGCAACAGCATTTTTACCCTTGATATAGGAAGGCGCTTGAAACATATTGGGACCTGGGAATCCAGCATTACCTACGTACTTTCAACGTCCGGCGTGCACACGCAGCTGCACGCATGTCGGGGGAACGTAGAGGTGGGGTTAGGGCAGAGGTGTGGTCAAGGGAAAATCGCCCTGCACGGCCCCTGGTGAGGGCAAACGCCAGCCTCAAGCCGGGTTATAGCCCCCTGCCCCCGCCTTGGGCCAACCCACCCCTCGAAGTACCCCCGAACTAAAGTGACCCAGGCGAATGGGCCCAGGGACACACAAATTCGCCGGCCCAACGGGCCAGGGCGTGCTAAGATCTCCGGTAACTGGTTAACAGTATTAACAGTATTTCTAGTTCGCGCGCGCGGGGCGGCCCCTGGGGGTCCCCCGGCGAAAAGTACCCCGACCAACGCCCGGTCGCCGCCCGACCGCCGCCCGACCAAGTCTACTCAGAGATGGTTTTCCTTCTGGGTGCGGCCTCTCAGGCTCCCCAGAGCGCGCTCAGAGTGCCCCAAGAGGCCCCCAAGACTGCCCAAGAGGCCCCCGAGACGCCCAAAGAGCGCTCGAAGACGCCGAAGATGACCCCAAGACGGCCCAAAAGGCCCCCAAGACAGCCCAAGAGGCCTCCAAGACGCCCCAAGAGCCTTCCAAGAGGCCTCCGAAGAGAGCCCCAAGAGGCCAAAATCGTTGATTTTCATTGTGTTTTTCTATGTTTTTTGTGTTCTGGCTTTTTCGGCTTCCGGACGCTCCAAGACGGCCCAAGAGGCCCCCAAGACCGCTCCAAGACGGCCCACGAAGCTCCCAAGACGGCGCCGAAACGACCCAAGAGAGCCCTCAAGACGGCCCAAGTGCCGCCCAAGACGGACCAAGAGGCCCCAAGACGGGCCCAAGAGGGACTCAGGAGGGATACCGAGAACTCAAAAAATGGAGCCCTCCGTCCCAGAAGGCGCCCAGGAGGTCCCAAAGAGGCCCCAAGAGGCCTCCAAGAGGCCCCAAGATGTCGCCAAGAGGCCCCAGGAGACTCCCAGGAGGCCCAAAAGAAGCCCCAGAAGGCTTCAAACATGTCTCCCAGGCGCCCCCGAACGGCCTCTCAACAGACCCCAAGAGGCCCCCCAAAGAAGCATCTTGACGACGACTCTATTTCGCCCCATCGAGAGACGACCCCCAGGGAACTGCTTCACCATCAAAACTCCCCACGCAACGCGTCCGAACGACACCCGCCCCCAAGAGCGCAACATGGGCAACGAACACACAGACAAAAACCAGCGATGCCATATCACGGGCCGGCGGAATGAGCGAAGCGATTCATTAAGCAAACACAAATAACAGGATTCCCCACATTTCCCATATCCTCTGGCTTTTCGTCTCCCCCCCCACTTCCCACAGTTTCCCATACTCTCCTGGGAGACGGCGATGGCTTGTGTCTGTGTGTGTGTTTTGTCCCTCATGACCAGGGGCACGCACGTCAACAGACAGAAATCCCAGGACGCCCGCTCAAAATCTGCTCTGGGTCTTCGTCGTCCCCTCCGCTCCCCAAATCTCCCCGAAATGCTTTCCCGGGGGCGCCCGCGCGGAAGCTTCGTCGATCGAGCGCGGCAGGCCATCGAAAGTATCAAGTCGGGCGTGTCCCCCCACAAGGGGATTTTCGACGACAGATAATTCAAACAACACTCCAAAATGGCAAACGAAATACAAAAAAATCCCCAGACTATGGAGGAAAGATAATTATGCACATACACCGATTCTGGCCAGGCCCACCCTGAGCCCATGATCGGTGTATACTCCTTCCTGCCTTGGCCAGGAAGGCACATGCACCAATCCTGAGCCCAGGATGGGCCTGGCCAAGATCGGTGCATGTGCATAGTTCGCGCCGCCCGAGACTGTGTTTCGACTATTTTTGAATATTCCTCCTGTAGAGGGACGGGCCCGACTTGACGAAAGTAGTCAAGGATGGACCAGAGAGGCACGGATGCAAAGGTACCCTGGATGGGACGCACATGGACATACTTAAACTGTATGTCCTCCGTGGAGGCGCGCGCGTCCGACCCGAACACGTCGTATACCTGTCTCGTAGTATATCGTCTCCCGAGCTGTGTGGCCAGAAAGCGCCCGCCCCGACGCACACACTACAAGATTTCTCGGTGCGCGCGTCGCCCCTGAGGGGGCGACGCACATATATAGGTATGAGTATGCTGGGGTGACGCCACTTCGGGAAGGTTGCCCATCCTTGCGATCGGCTTCGACGGTATATCACCAACACTTCCGCACCCCAGCCCGTGCGCACGAACCGTGCTGTACCATCCACCCAGTTTACCAGCCTCGAACGTATCCCTATCCCTAAGATTGACACGCCGAAAGGCGATGACAATCTTAGGGATTCGCCCTCAAAAAATAAGGGAATCCCTAAGATTGGCATCGTGATGAGGAGATGCCCAGCATAGGGAGAGGGATATGTTCCAGGCTGGTAGCCCACCGCACCCTCCTTCTCAAGGGCTCACAACTTCGCGCTCTCGCGCTGCGCGAAGCGCGAACGACTTTGCGCTCTCGCGCCGCCTCCCAAGGGGAGAAGAGGAGGATGAGGAGGGATCGGAGCCGAAGCGCGAAGCGCGAATGCCTTCGCGCCCTCGAGGGCGCCCTTGCCTGGTCGAGGTGCAGTCGCCGATGAGCGCGACCGACGCAGTGCGCCGCGCTCGCCTGCCGCATCCCCTCGCCGGCCGGACAGACCTCCAGAGCAAGCAGCGAGAGGACGCAGGACGCCCATCCCCCCCGAGGAGGGTGAAGGGGCCCTGGGACACACGGATAAATAAGCACACATAAAAAGATTCCCCATATTGTCCCATATGTTCTGGGTTTCTGTCTTCCCCCCCGCTGCTCATCTATATATATATATATATATACATATATATATATATATATATATATGTCTGATATTTTCTGGGGAATCGACGATTAATTGTGTCTGTGCTTTTTTGTTCCCTCCTGAGCGGGGAGGGGGAGCACATCCGAACGCGCCACGGCCAGGGGCCGTTGGCTGCACGCACTGGGGGCCACATCGTCCCAGCGCGCAGGCCAGTGCTGGGGGTGGGGGGGAGGCAGCGTCCTCCTCCTCCTCCTCCTCCTCTCCTCCTCCTCCTCTCTCCTTCCACCTCTCCTCTCTCTCCTCTCCTCCTCCTCCTCCCTCCTCCCTCTCTCCTCCTCCTCCTGCCTTCCTCCTCCTCCTCCTCCTCTGGGGGGGGGGGGGGCGCAGGCCAGTGCTGGGGGGAGCGGGAGAGGCGGCGTGTGGGCCCGCACTGGTTGGTCACCCGGCGAAGGGTCGCTTCCGCTCTTACGCGCAACCGACTCTCGGCACGGACGAAAACGGCACTGAAAGAAGGGGCGCAATGCCCAACAGCAGCTCCTGCTCACCTTGAACAGGACTCGCTGTCCGCACCGCCGCGGCCGGTGTCCATTTGAGACAAACGGCCGCCTGCCAAACAGCGGCCGCTGTTGGTTTGGGACGACATTTGATGTGTTTGGCATTGTACCAATGTTTTCTGTACACATTTCGGGCCGAAAGTCTCGCCCTCCTCTTGCCGTGTTGATTATTTCCCCCGGTCGCAATTGAAACCATCATGGATGCGAAGACAGCCCGCGTACCTCAAGGGCAGAGCAACACATATGCAATCTCACTTGCACGCGGTGCATAGCTGCGCCATACCTGCGGCCGAGGAGGAGGAGGAGGAGGAGGAGGAGGAATTGTTGGAGTTGGAGTCCCTGGGCGAATTCCTACCAACGCTTCATCGGGCCGCGTATGGGCTCTCAAGGCTCCACGGGCGGCGTCGGCCTTCCTGTAGGCGCTGGGCCGCGCCCGAGATTCGCCTGTGATAATGATTCCCGACGGGTCTGAGCGGGGCGACCCGAGCACTCAGCACCCAGAGCAAGCAACTGCTGACCCCCGAACATCCCGCAGGACGCACAGAGACAGGCCCCAGGGTCCTGGTGCAGAGGCCTACACGATGATGGGCTGGTTTTCCACCACCACCACAAGTAATGGGGGGAGGGGGTCCAAGGCATGAACGATTCTTGCCCCGGTGCCGGTGCCGGTGCCTGTGCCGGTGCCGGTGCCGGTGCCGGTGCCGGTGCCGGTGCCGGTGCCGGCGCCGGTGCCGGTGCCGGTGCCGGTGCCGGTGCCGGTGCCGGTGCCCGTGCCGGTGCCCGTGCCGGTGCCGGTGCCGGTGCCGGTGCCGGTGCCAGTGCCGGTGCCGGTGCCGGTGCTGGTGCCGGTGCCGGTGCCAGCAGTGCCGGTGCCGGTGCCGGTGCTGGTGGCCGGTGCCGGTGGCCGGTAGCCGGTGCTGGTGCCAGTGCCGGGGCTGGTGCCGGTGCCGGTGCTGGTGCCGGTGTTGGTGCGGGTTCTTGTTGTTTTCCCAAAACATCCTCTCCTTCTCCCTCCCGCCTCCCGCCTCCCAGCAGTGCCCCTCCCGCTCCTCCAGGGAAGCCCCGCCTGAGCGAGGAGGGTAACGGAAACCCATACTATTTACATGGATTCGTGCCCTTCCAACCTCTCCAGCCAGGGAGGCCCCGCCTGAGCGAGGAGGGTATCCCACCCCTCCAGCAGGGAGGCCCCGCCTGATTGAGCGAGGAGGGTATCGGAAACCCATACTATTTACATGGTTTCGTGGCCCTCCCACCCCTGCAGCAGGGAGGCCCCGTCTGAGCGAGGAGGGAATCGGGAACCCGTAGTATTTACATAGTTTCGTGCCCTTCCCACCTCTCCATGGAGGCCGTGCCTGAGCGAGGAGGGTATCGGAAATTAATAAAGATTACATGGTTTCGTGCTCCTCCCACCCCTCCAGGCAGGCCCCGCCTGAGCGAGGAGGGTATCGGAAACCCATACTATTTACATGGTTTCGTGCCCTTTCCATCCGCCTGAGCGAGGAGGGTATCGGAAACCCATGCTATTTACATGGTTTCGTGCCCCTCCCACCCCTCCAGGGAGCCCCCGCCTGAGCGAGGAGGGTATCGGAAACCCATGCTGTTTACATGGTTTCGTGTTCCTACCACCTCTCCAGGGAGGCCCCGTCTGAGCGAGGAGGGTATCGGAAACCCATGCTATTTAGATGGTTTCGTGCCCCTCCCACTGACATGGGTGCGGAGGAGGGGGGAACATTACCTATCCATCTCACGTCCTACTCCGCCCACTGAGGAGGGTGAGGAGGAGGGGGAGTTCTGCGATGGCTTCATCATGATGATGGTGATGACGATGGTTATACTGCTGTTCACGATGACGATGAAGATAGCGATAATGGTGATGGACGATGACGACGGCGATAACGGTGATTATGATGATGATGCTGATGATGATGATGACGATGATGATGATGATGACGATGACGATGATGACAACGATGGCGACGACGACGAGGATGATGATGCAGATGCTGGTGATGATGACGATGCTGCTGCTGATGCTGACGTTGCTGGTGCTGTTGATGATGATAACGACGATGATGCTGATGATCATGACGTCCACGATGATGCGGACGATGATGATGCCAAAGACGGTGATGGTGATGATGATGACGATGCTGATGATGATGATGACGACGGTGGCGACGACGATGATGATGATGACGATGACGCTGGCGATGATGACGATGCTGATGATGATGATGAGGATGATGATGATGATGATGATGGTTATGATGATGCCGATGATGCAGACGATGATGATGATGATGATGATGATGATGATGTTGATGGTGTTGATGCTGATGATGATGACGATGATGCTGATGATGACGACGACGGGGTGACGACGATGCTGCTGATGATGCTGATGATGACGACGATGATGCTGGTAATGATGATGATGATGATGATGATGATGATGATGATGATGATGATGATGCCGAGGATGAGGAGGACGAGGAAGAGCAGGACGACGAAGAGGAGGAGGAGGAGGAGGAGGAGGAGGAGGAGTCGCTTGAACGAGGAGGGTCGCGGACAGCACTATTCTTTGCCAGGTTTCGTGGGCCTCCCCCTTTCCAGCGGGGCCCCGCCAGAGCGAAGAGGGCATCAACAACCCGTACTATTTACAAGGCTTCGTTTCCTGAGCACCTGTCCTCCCTCCTCCTTTCTTTCGTCTGCCCTTTCGTGCGTACTTACTCGTTCGATGAGCTTCTCCTTCGTGTTGATGTTGTCGTACCCCATGGGTCCCACGAAACTGTTAATATTTTTTATGTGGGGAACTGCGTTTGCATAATTTTACCATTGATTGGACTGCAATCGATTCCACTGGGTTTGCACTTGATTGGCTTGCAACCGGTTGGATTGCAACCGCTGGGGGGGCGCACAGGGCAGCGACGAGGAGGCGGCGACGGGACGGTTACGGCGACGAGCGAGGAACCGCCAGACCGACCCTCAGGCCAAGACGACGGGCGGCGACGACGCAGCAAGGGGGGGCGACGGCAAGGACGGAAAAACCAGACCGCCCCTCAAGCCCAGACGACGACGGGCGGCGACAGGGCGGCAACGGCGAGGAGGAGAGCCGCCAGACCGCCCCTCGGACGACCCAGCTAATACTAGGAAAGAAGAGAGAAGGCCCCCTAAGTGCAAGCACTGTTTGGGAATCAATGATGTTTTTCATCCGGTGCCAGTGCTGGCGCCGGCGCCGGTGCCGGTGCCGGTGCCGGTGCCAGAGCTGGTGCCGGTGCGGTTGCGGGTGCGGGTGCCAAAGCCGGTGCTGCCGCCGGCGAGGGCGACGGCGCTGGTGCCCGTGCCGGTGCCGGTGCCAATGCCGCCGGCGCAGGCGCCGGTGCCACCGGCGCAGGCGCCGGTGCCGGTGCCGGTGCCCGTGCCGGTGCTGGTACCGGTGCTGGTGCCGGTGCCGGTGCCGGTGCCGGTGCCGGTGCCGGTGCCGGTGCCGGTGCCGGTGCCGGTGCCGGTGCCGGTGCCGGTGCCGGTGCCGGTGCCGGTGCCGGTTGCCGGTGCCGGTGCCGGTGCCGGTGCCGGTGCCGGTGCCGGTGCCGGTGCGGTGCCGGTGCCGGGTTGACGGTGCCGGGACGGTGCGGTGCGGTGGGCGAGAATCATTTCTATAGTGGCGGGGTTCCTCACCGCCCTGCACTCCTCCTCCCCCTACTCCTGCTCCTCCGCCTCCTCCTCCTCGCTCATCATCGTCTCTCCTCTGGGCGGGGGTGGCCGGGTGTGGGGGGGGGGTGGGGCCAAAAATATACACCGCCACCACCTTCCTCCCCCACCTCCCTCTCGCTGGAAAGAGGACAGAGATGGAATCGACGTGGTGGTGGTGGAAATTCTGTGGGCAACATCATTCGCACTACTCCTCCTACCGTTCCTCCACCTCCTTCCCCCCATCCAACTTTGGTGGTGGTGGAAGAGCATGCCCGTCACACGAAGCTTCCAAGAAGCCGCGCAGTGCCCAGACTTCACGCAATCGGTGCACGGAGAGAAGGCGTGCAGCGAGCTGCGCGACCGAGCCCGCGGCTGCTGGAAAAGCCCAGCCGCGGCAGACGCGGCCGCGCCACCGGGGAACAGCAAGGGAGCACACCGTGCGGCGCTGCCGGCCTGCGGGAGTCCTCACCGCAGCACTGGCATTTCTCCTTATCCTGCCGAAGAGACCCTCGGCAACAACGCCTAGAGATAAAACCACCCTCGGGGTGAGAGGACGGGTGCAACTTACAATGTGCGATTGGCGTCGGGTCGGGTTCGAGAACTATCTGACGAACTCGACATCTAGATGCGGTATCCTTATCTACGGGCACCATTATCATTTCATCGATCCCCAGATCAAAATATAATCTGGTCTCAGTATCCCACGGCCTGACTATCTTTCTATTGAACTTGCCATCGCAATACAAATATGAATATATGTCAGAATGAGGGGCCGAACGGTCATTCATTGTACCTGGGTGCGTGGCTGAATTGGGAATTTGTGGGGAGAAGTATGTTTGTTGCGTTTTGTTGTTGCTGTTGTTGTTGTCGTTGTTGTTGTTGGTGGTGTTGGTGGTGTTGGTGGTGTTGTTGATGATGATGGTGTTGTTGCTTGTTGTCGTCGTCCCACCCGCGACCCACCCGCGACCCACCCCGCGACCCACCCCGCGACCCACCCCGCAACCCACCCCGCGACCCACCCGCGACCCAAGCCGAGACCCACCCGCGACCCACCCTGCGACCCACCCGCGACCCAACCCGCGACCACCCGCGACCCACCCCGTGAGCCGCCTGCGACCCATCCACGACCCACCGCGACCCACCCCGCGACCCACCTTCAAAGGAGGAGAAACCCCCCGCACTCCCGGAACCCCCCCCCCACCCCCCCGCCCCGACCCCCCAACCCCCCCCCCCATCACCCCCCCCGCCCTAATCCCGACATTCCCCACCCCCCCCCCCGACCCCCCCCCCCCCCCCACCCCGACCCGACCCCGCCCCCCCCCCCCCCCGCTACCCCCCCACCCCCCGAACCCCCCCACCCCCCCCCGACCGACCCCCCCCCCCCACCCCCCCCCCAACTCCCCCCCCCCGAACCCCCCCTCCACCACCACTCCCCCCCCGACTTCCACCCCCCACGAACATCACACCCCCCCCCACCCCCCCCCCACCCCACCCCCCCGACACAATTGACGTGTACTAAAAGGCCCTTTCTTTGGGGCGTTTACTAAACAGCCCTGCCCTGTTCGATTCATTCCCTGCGTGCGCTTACTGGACGGATTCGCTTGCCGGGCTGATTATTATGGGGTGGATTTTCTGCCCGACCCACCCGCGACCCAACAGCGACCCACCTGCGACCCACCCGCGATCCATTTGCGACCCACCCGCATTGGTTTAACGGAAAAATCGGCGCCTGCAGCGGGCTCATTAAATACTTTGCGAAAATTCGGCGCCTGCAGCGGGCTTACCCAGAGTCTCGCAAACTGCTGACGTCCCCACCGCCCCCATCACTCTTATCCGCATCTGCGGGGTGCTGCGTATATATGTATATATACACATATGTAGATGCACATATATGCAGTGGTATACAGAAACACATCGCTGCAACTACCGATCTACCCAGCGGCCTCACTGTATATATATATATACACACACACGTAACAACACACACACACACACAAAACCGCCGTGGGACAACAACGGGCCACCACCAGGCAACCACGGGACAACCACGGGGAAACCACGAGACAACCACAGGACTACCACGGGACAGTCACGGGACACCCACGGGACAACCGCGGGACAACCGCCAGGGACAACCGCCAGGGACAACCGCTGGACAACCACGGGACAACTACAGGAGGACAACCACAACGGGAGGACCACGGGACAACCACGGGACACCCGATGGAGAATCACGGGGCAAACACGGGACCGCCACGGGGCAACCACGGGTCACTGTTACAACTGCCGATACACGGCACTACCGATATACCGATACCGCTGTCAATGCATCAGTAGATATCCCCATACCGAGGCCCTACCATGCACCGATCAATTCATTCAATACCTAGCACCTCGTAGTGGCGAATAAGAGTGAAGGGGCGGCAGGGGCGTCGGCAGTTGTCGACGATTTGCAGAAGCCCGCTGCAAGCGCGGCATTTTCACCAGGTATACAATGAACCCACTGCAGGCGCCGATTTTTCCGTTTGAACACTGCGGGCGGGACGCGGGTGCGTCGCGGGCGGGGCGCGGGCGGGCCGCCGCTGGGTTGCGGGGCGGGTCGCGGGTGGGACGACGCCAAACAACAACAAACAAAAAAAAAAAAAAAAAAAACAACAACAACAATCAGTTGACCATCACGACCCACGCTTCAACATGTCACATGCATCCTTCTAGATACCACACACCATCCTGGGGGATTTGTCTGGCATAAGGGGCCCGATATTCCCTCGTCCAAATCTCCCGCCCAAGCAGGCGTTGCCACCACCTCTTCCGATGGACTTCGACATCCACAGCTCAGACGGCACATCGCCACCGCAATCGCCTTGCGCACGCCCCGCATTTCGGATGGGGAGGAAGAGAGCGAGGAGGGGAGGGAAGACGAGGGTTCAAGAAGGAGCCCCTTCCGCCGAAGGTCGAGGGCCCCATGGTGGCACCCCAAACGACGGGCGCACCTCCGAACAACATTAGGGTACCCTTCCGAAGACGAAGTGGTTCTCACTCCCCGTTCGAACTGTTACGCCGCCATCCTGCGGCCTCGGCGCGTGACCCTGAACGTTCACGCACCCAGGCGCTGCCGCTCCCATGCTCGCTTCCTCCACCTGCCCCTCCACACCCTCTCAAGGAATCCCTCAAGTCAACCCTTCGACCCTCGATCCTTGGAGCCCTTGGAAGTCATCCGTCCTCCTTCTCCTCCTCGTCCACATTATCTATGCTCATCAAAAACGATGACTATCTGGGAACTAAAATTCAACATGGACTCTTGGAAGCCCCCCAGAGGCGATGCCGAAACGAGGGCCCCAGCCCTGAGTAAAAGGTGAGGAAGTATCAAACAGGAGCGACGAGGGAGGACGGACGGGGAAGGGATGAGGGAGGAGGAGGAGGAGGAAGAGGCAGAAGGAAGGAGGAGACACGGGGGACGAAAAGGGAAAGGAGGAGGGAGGAGGAGGGAGGAAAACGGAGGAGAGAGCGACGGGAGAGGAAGGAGGGAGAGGAGGAGAGGAGGGCGTGGATGGGGGGAAGACGGAGGAAGAGGGAGGAGGGGGGAGGAAAGAGGAGGAAGAAGAGCAGAAAGAGGAGAAGGAAGAGGAGGAGGAGGAGGTGGAGGAGAAAAAGGAGGAGGAGCGAGGGAGGAGGAGGGGAGGAGGAGGAGGGGAGGAGGAGGAGGAGGAGGAGGAGGAGGGAGGAGGAGGAGGAGAGGGGAGGAGGAGGAGGAGGAGGAGGAGGAGAGAGGAGGAGAGGAGGAGGAGGAGGAGGGTGAGAGGGAGGAGAAGGGGGAGGAGGAGGAGGAGGAGGAGGAGGAGGAGGGGGCGAGTCGATCGAAGCCTCGTAAAAATCCGCGCGACCCTCACCAGAGGGTGGTATGAGAGGGCGGAAGCACCATAGATACCTCTGGTAGTCCAAATAGAACACCTCGACCGGCCACGGCCGCGCGCCCCGGCAGCGCGCTGCGGCTGAAGGTCGCCCGGCCGCGGCGCGCGGCAGCCAGCCGCCGGCCGCCGCCCGAGCCGCCGCTCGCCCCTCCAGCGTCTCCAGTGGCCGCCGTGGGCCGACACGGGCTGCTGGGGTCGCCGCCAGCTCCACGTCGGCCCCAATCGGCTGCCGGCGCCGCCCTGCGCTAGCCCCGCCGCACCAGCGCGTCAGTCAGCTCGGCGGCCTCGCTAACCGGTGTCGAGCCGCGCTGCTGCCGCCGCCGCGGCGGCTCCGCCCGCTAGCCGGCGGCGCGAAGCCTAGCGCAAGCCGGCCGCCTTCCGGAGCTGGCGCGCTGTTGCCGCCTGCAGGCCGCAGGACAAGACCTTGTAGGCCCGCGCCAGCTCGCGCTGCTGCTCGTCTTCGGGCAAGCGCCGCACCTGCCCTGGCAGCCAGAGGCGGCCCTCGGCGCCGAGCCGCCCCCCCGCCTCGAGGACGAAGGGCGTCAGCCGGTCGCCGGGGTAGCGGGCGTGCTTCTCTCGCTCGCCGCGCCTGCTGGCCTCGCCGTCCCGGCGAGCGGCCAGCCGCAGCTCGGCCTGCGTGCCGGCTGCAGGGTGGCGGACGGAGACGTCGAGCCAGTGGGTGCCGTCGTCGTCCTGGCACTGCAGGTCCAGGATCGCGCGCTCGAGTCTGCCGTCGGGGCGCTGGCGGTCCCAAGTCGGCACTTTCTGCTCAACGAGGGGCCGCTCGCCGCGCCAGCGGTGGAGGAGACCCCCGACCCTCCTGTCGAGGCCCCCGTGTCGCGCCACCACGCCCCCGCCCACCTGGCAGGTCAGGGCATGGTAGCCGCCGTCGTCTAGTGCCCCGTGGCAGCCAGCGCCGTCGGCAGCGCGCAGGCAGCAGGCGGCCGGCGCGGTCGCTAGCTCCCGCTGGCTGAGCTCGGCGCGCGGAAGCTGCAGCCGCCGCCGCGCCCCTGCCTGCAAGCGCGTTTTCGAGGGAGCAGAGGTCGTCCTCCGGGTAGGCAAGAAAGGCCGCGCTGCCGCTTCCGGCTGCGCCCCGCAGCTCGGTCTGTCGGGGAGGGGGCAAGCGTCGCAGCAGAGCTGCGCGCTGGGTCCTTTGCACCTTCTCCGTGGCCAAGCCTTGCTTCAGGGGCGTCTGCAGCGCAGTCGCCAAGTCCCCCCCCGGCGCGAGCTCGAGCCCCTGGCCCTGCAGTCCGCGCCGCGCCGTTTCCAGCTGCTGGGCCGCCCGCGGCAGCCGCTCCAGGCAGTCAGCCAGCGTCGCGTTGCCCTAGTCCTCTGCGACGTCCTGCGCCGCGGCTGACCAGGAGGCGAAGAAGGCCGCGTGGCGCCGCGTGCCCGCCAGCTGCGCGCCGAGGCCTCCAAACCTGGCCGGGGGGCCCAGGAGCTCCACGGCCGCTTCGTCGAGGTCCCGTTCCAGGTCCCTCCAGCAGCCCGTCAACAGATCGTCGTACTGCTGCGTCGCGGAGTCCTGGGCGAGCTCCATCCGCAAGGAGTGCTGGCTCGCCGGGGCCGCGTAAGCGCGCAGGAGGGCTGCCGCTGCCTGCTTCTTGAGTCCGGC